GGGCATCAAAGTCGTATTGTCTGATAAATGATTATAATCCTGCCGATATAAACCAGTGCCAGATCCAAGAATAAATGTTAAAGGGGGGAAATTTCATATAAGGTTACCTTTGATTTTTAAATTTGTGTATATAAGGTCTATAAACTTTAAAAAAAAATATTTAGCAGCCCTGAAGTTTCAATTTTGTGTCAAATAAATTATTGAACTTCAATATTATATTCAACAAGTCTTCAGTATATTCAAAAAAAAATTTAAAAATTATGACTCATAAGTTCTCAACCTATTTGACATTTTTGAATTCATGTATCGATCAGATATAAAATTAAATAAGAAAGACAAATAAGAAAGTTCATAAATAAGAAAAACTTGCAACATGAGACTTGCAACAAACTCAAACTCAAAAAACACAAACTCCACGAGGGAGTGAAAAAACATAACAAGATGACAAAACTAAAGCGGAACAAAAATGCCTCAATGCAAGTAAATATCACATAAAGATAAAGCTGCAAAAGATGGTAAACTTTGGTCTACAAGATGCAGACAGAATTTCAATGCTACATTCAGTATTATTTATTTTTTATTTGACGAGAAATGCAAACTTTTCGTTGATACTTGAGAAGTTAAAAGTCAGAAAACTTCTATATTCAGTATCAAAGCATTGGCAAGCAATTATGGTACAAACGACAAAGTTTCTATCCATACAGAGCATAGCGCAAAGAATGCTTGAAATGAAGCTTCCACGACTCAAACAAAAGGATACAACAATTTCTAAAATAAAAATAAAGCTTACCAATCTAAATATTAAATTTCAAGAACAAAGAGGGAAATTTCAAAGTCAGTCAAACGATTACGGAATTTCCATACTGATCTATTTATTTTAATGAAAGATTATATCTACGCCAGAAAAGTAGAATAAACTGGATAGTTCATTATCAAAGCCAAAGCAACCTTACCTGTCAGCATTAATTAGCCAATCAAAAACGAAGTTTTCAAGCCCAGACCAAAGCTTCTCTACAATGATAAACCGCTGCCAATTAGCTACAAAAGAAGAAAAATAACTTAAACTAGTTTAATAGAACACTGTGCAAACCAGTGAGTTCTTCCTGAGGGCAGCACTCCACAAAGCGAATACATGCTGAGCAAAATATGCACTCAACTGCAAGCTATGCCCCGAGAAAGCATATCATAATAACTTCCAAGTTAATAAGGCAAACTTCTCCGAACAAGGGATTTTAAAGCAATGATATCAAGAACACTATCCATCTCTGTTAGAATGAATTATTTTGGAAACAAAAAAACAAATGATGAGAACTTTTCTAGAATAAAGTACCATTGAAAACCTTTTTGGAAACTTTACCTACTGAGCAAAATGAACAGTACTTGAATTTAAAAGCACACTCAAGAGGAAAATTTGAACAGGTGAATGTTTCTTTCATTGTTAACAAACAACAGAAAAACAAAATTTCCCCACGAGCCACGCCTGGCGAAGTGCAAAGAAGTACAAAAAGATGAGAAGGGATGATTAGATGGTGGATCCTCAAGCCAAGAAAAAAAGAAACTAAAAGAGATTATTCCCATCGTTGTAAAGGATCCAAAAGTTACAAGAAAATAAGCCACAAGGGAAAATATGTGTATAGTTAGTTTTGATAGTCAAGGAAAATAGGTAAGGAAGAAAACAGTCCCACTGAAAAAGTAAAACATACCGTTAATTAATGAAATTTAACCAGATAACAACAGTTATTTGGCTTTGATAGCTCCATATGACATAAGTTCATTAACATTTTGAACTATTTAACCTGATGAAGATACCAATTGGTAAGAATCATCAAGAATTAATGGCGACCCTCAACAACTAAGACTAATGCCAATCCACAACAACTGAGACGATTGGAAACTTTCCATTGACATGGCAACCATAAAGCTTTCAAAAACAGCAACATTCATTTTAAATAGTTTTCACAGAATAGGCAAACCTTTCTTTGGAAAGTAGATGTGTTATTTGCACCCTTTGGAGATTCGCTGCAATGAGGAGAAAAGGAGAAATTGTAAAAGAACGATAAGAAAAGATTATCTGGCGGCAGTGTCTTAACAATATCTTATTAAGAGTAAGCAGCATTTCAAAACAAAGGAGAATTGTAAAGAACAAAAACTAAACACATTAGCTCCATTTGAATATGCACACTCCCCTCTTTTTACACCCTCACCTTAACATTTTTATTCCATTGCACCCTTATCATGCACGTACTCTCCCCGGCTTGTCCCTCCCTACCTAGAAACACGAATTATTCCCTCCCTATCAATCTATTAACTTTGCTCCATGATCTCTCACTCTTTCACACACACTCTCCTAATTTTTATAAATAAATAAAAAATCATTTATAGAATGAAATTTTAGTAGGGAGAGAATACAAAAACCAAATCAATTCGAACAAAGGAATTACAAGAACTCTAACCGACTTTAATGGAGAAATAGGATGTTACAAAAACTAGGTGTATTTCAAAATTACACTTTATGATAACAACACATGGCCACCTCTAACAAACATGTTTCTCAAACTCTCCTTTCCACTTCATAACATCAAGATCACTGCCTAGGATAGGCCCACGAAATTCTTCTTCCTTCTAAAGTCATGCGAGTCTGATGTTCTATCACCTACTTAGGAACTCAGCCGCAAGCACAAAGAAAAACATAAAGAGTAAGTCGCCCTATCTAAAACTAAAACCCTTGAAGGAAGGATATTTTCCCTTCACTTATCAGTTATCCAATTTTCTTCAAAACCTCTTTTTACATGTTTCTTAAAATAAGTTTCTCCTCAACACATCTCTACTTCAAAACTGTAAAGCCCCACACAGTAACACGCTAATCACTATAAAACACAGGTCAACGCACACCCTCGTCACCACCACATTTCTTTACCAATATACCCTTCAAAACAATCACAATTTATCCACCTTTCACCACACACTTGACAAAATTTGTTTAACTATACCCCTATTGAACACCTATTCCCAAATCCCAATCCCAGTTTACTTTACACAGAGGTCAGAGGATGTTATCCTCTTATTTTAGTTGTACTTTCTCTTAATTGGTAGGAATTTATTTCCAAATTGTTTTAAAAATTACGATAAACACACCCGTACATGCAACACAATTACGCCAAGATACTTGTATTCATTAAAAGAAATGTTCAAAAATAGGACGTCAAAACTAAGAAATGTTACATAAAAATTATTGATTCTCTCTCAAACTAATTCCAATTGGCAGTGAAAAACAGGCCAGTATCAGGAGATTGTCCTTAAGAGAACGATAACTGAAAATAGAGGAGACTAGGTAAGTTGAGGCACCTTTCTCTCCATCGAAGAAGTGCCTCTAAAAGTGGTACAGGTGTGTGTGTGGCAACCATTGCCAAGGAATCCAGTACTTGCTCATAGGCAGGGTCTGATGGTCGAAGATATTGTCCATCCTGCAAATTGAGGCAATCAACAAAAGAAAGTGGTGGATTCTTCACAAAATAGTACTACACAACATAAATGTCCATGAATGAAAATTGATTTCGTGACTTGCTCGTCAGAGTGCATAGAACAACGACAAAATGTTCCCGCCAGATCAAGAAATAACATGAAATCATTAAGCACCGGGCTACTGGCATCCAGAAAAACTGAAAAGAATCTATCAGAGTACCAGATAATACACGGTATACACCCAACATCAAAAAATCCTCGAACTGTAACAATAATTCGTGATGATACTAATGGAAAAAGTAAGCACATCCATTTTTCTTCACATTTCCAACAGAGTGACTATTATAACATTTTCATCGGACTAGCAGAACTGCACATGACATTTTCTAGATGGGAAACATGGGGCCAGAGAAGAGGAAACAAAATAGAAAATGAACCTGAGCTTGAGTGGTTTCGATTCGACGTCGAGCGAGAGGGAGGAACCGCTGAAGCAGAGCATCAACTATTAGCTTGGCAGGAGTGCCTGCCTTCCCTTCTTTGACCATACTCGCTTAGCTTGCATCAACTTCACAGCCCCATTAGATAACTTTCAATGAATCTCCAATCGCAGTGATTCGTTTCCCAGTCTCCCCGTGATTTCGTTCCGTTCGCGGAGGCTGATCTTCGTCCGAGTCTAACATAAAGAAGATCGCTACATTGACACGGTCGGTTCATGAGAAAGGAACCCAGAAAGCAAACCAGCTAAAGAACAAAGATCAGAGTACGAATCCTAGAAATCACAACAATGCACATGGAAATGCAGAGGAAGGAGAACTGGAGGAAGAAGAAGAAGAAGCAATGAAGCTTTGATATCGAGGGTGTATAGGATCTGGCTGAAACTGTGCATGAAATCGAGACGAAGCTGCTTCATTATTAACATATTTTCATCTTTTTTATTGGGAATTGAAATTGATGCATGGCCGAATCAGAAATGTTGGAATAACACGGTGGATTTGTGGCTATTTCTTCTTTCTAAAAAAGAACAACAAGAAATAAAGAAACTACTACTGTTCGTCCGGACAACAAAAGTCGCGGATCACGCTTTTCCGAACGTTAACAAATTTTGAACCGGGTTCAGTTTTTTTATGGAAAGTTTTGAACCATGTTATTTCCTTTATTTTTCACATAAAAAATTAAATATTTTAATTATTTGATATAAACTTTCCAAATTTGATAAACTATTAGATTAATGTAATACAAGTTAAAAGGTAAAAACTGCTTATATAATTACATTAAATTTCACTTAATAAATGTTTTTTTTTTCTTTATGTAGAAAATGTCATTTCTTTTTTTTCTTAATAAATTTTATCAATAATATTATTTTAGAAAGAAAAAAAACTTTAAATAAAAAGCATCAAATACTTTTTTATTTTTATTTTTTATTGAACTATAAATGGTTGAATAATAATTAGTATTTTATCCACAAGACTATGCTCGGTACAACTAAAAGGACGTAGGAAACATATATAAATTTGAAAAATCATAAATCAAATGATTATCGATTGATCAGATATCTAAGATTTTTGTATGGAATATAAGCCAACTGATGCAATCAACCAGCCATTCTGCTAAGCTATACAACAATGAGTTTGAGCTAGCATTATACATCTACAATATATACTTCATTTACAGTAATCTAATCTTTTCACACCTTCTTTTACATTCATTCATGTTACCTGTGGTGATAATGTCTGTGCCTTTTCTTGAAACGAGAGGCCAACCTGTTCTTCAGTCCAGCACGATCCTTCGGCAACGTCTGAAGCATCAAAGCTCGTGTTTTTCCATCTGGTTGGATACCGATTTCGTGCATCTTCGTGTAAAACTTTTTTGCTAAATCAGTCTTGCCTCTTAAGCACATTCCTTGGATGACAGCATTGTATACAGATGCATCGTGTGCAGACTTCTGAAGAACAACAACTATCAGGTATACGTCCAAATAACTCTCAATGCAAAATGTCGAAAAACGTTCGAAAGAAGAACATCAGGACAAGGAACTGTAGATTAGTAAGATCATCAGAGAAAAAACACAACAAAAACCATAATGGTCTAATAGAAAGCCTCGTTTTCCAGTTCAATCATATGGATTTCAATGATGTTTTTCACTCCGCCCATTGAATGATGCTAATGCAATGAAAAGTTAGAACTAAATTTCTACAGGGAAAATCTGTCCCTATCCAAAATAGTATAAGAGTGTCGTCAAGGCACAGGACGAGTCATAGAGGTGAACACTTACAGATAGAAGTAGTTCCACTTCATCCCATAAAGATCCCCAAATGCAGCTTCGGATAAGCGACAAAAGAGTGAAGGTATCAGGAGTGAGCTTCTGATGAATCATGCGTTCGTAAACTCGCAACGCAATTTCTGGCTTCCTAGCCATCTCACATGCACTAATAACAATGTTATATGATGATGCCGAGACTAAGCAACCAGAGGCGGCCTCCATTTCCCATAAAATTTGGAGAGCCCTATCCCATAACCCAAGCTTTGAACAAGACAATAGAACGGTATTGTAAATATGTATATTCAATTGAGCCTTCTCCTCTCTTTTCACAAACTCAAAGAGACGAATAGCATCGTTGTAGCGATTTGCCTTGTAAAGAGCACCAAGTAGTGCCTTCCATGTATAAACATCAGGTGAATGACCCATAGATTTCATCCTATTGTATATGCTGAATGCTAAAGTGACCTCATTAGCTTTTCCTAGAGCATTGATCAAGGCGTTGAATGCAACGGAATTAGGTTCGAGTCCACATTTCAACATCTCTTGAAAGACTCTTAAAGCAAAATCCCACCTCCCTTCCCTTGAAGATGCGCCGATAATAGCTTGCATTGTATCATTAGCTGGTTTATAACAATTTTGAACCATCTTTACATAAATGTCAATCGCAAGTTCATTCTGGTTGCAGCGGACGTAAGTGCTCACCAATAGAGAATAAGTTAGATGTGTTGCACTACAGCCATTTTCCTCCATTAGTCTCCATATTCTCTCAGCTTCAACCCAGTTATTCTCTTTTCCACAGACCGATATCATCATGTTATAAACAATTGCATCGAACTGTTTTAAGTCATATTCATGCTCCCATGTCCTAAACATCTCAAGAGCAGAAAGAAATCCATGAGTATCAGCAACTGCTTTGAGTATAAGGCTATAAGTGTGCCCTGTTGATAGCTTGTTTGACTTCATAAACTCGAAGATTCGTAAACCATCATCAAACAGCCCATTCCTCAAAAGACAAGCTAAAAGTGAATTTGAAGCATGAAAACTTGGCAGAAGACCTGCTAAATGCATGGACCTGAATAATTCCATTGCACTTCTGACCTTATTTTTTCTACTGAGAATTAAAATACGCTTTGATAGCATAACTTCATCAGTTTCCTCAAGAAAATACACCTTTCTGTCACTTACCAAACCCTCCCCTTCTAACACTTCGGACTGGTTTACATCTTCAGATTGAAAGATTGGCTCATCCTGATTTTTCACTTCTCCCCAGGGAGGCGATTTCCACTCCCGAGACGATTCTTCGACTCCTTCATCAACGACCAAGCTAATAGCCTCATCCTCTTCACATGTCCTAAATTCCAAGAATTTTGTGGAGCGAACCACGAAATTCAATCGTGGAATACTCATCGACGACATTGAAGCTACATTACCCCCATGAGTTATCCTACGCCTTATACATGATTTCAATTCTGGAATAACATGGAAATGCTTGTGTGCACAACTAACCGGGTAACACGAGTGAAGTTGGTAATTCAACTCATTTGATAAAATCAGAGTGGGATTTATAAGCAATCCTCTCATAATTTACTAAACATGAAAAGAACAAGAGAGTTTACAATCCAGGAGGAATCATTCCAAATCAGTGAACCTGCAGAGAAAAGAAAACAGCCTCTAAGAACACGAATATTAAACTACTTTAAAATTCAAAATCAATTTCGTAATCTACTCTGGAAGATGGGTTTCCCCACCATTCCATTCTCGATTTTACTTCTGAGATGAAAGAACATGTTCGTATATTCAATACCCATGAACGAGAAAGAAGAAAAGTTAAGGATGCGCAGATATTTTCTTCTACGCACATTAAATTCCACGATAACTATCCGTCTATCCCAAATGAAATAAGCTAATGAAATGAACACCAGAAAGAACCGCTTAAGTTTCTAACATTCATTCAATTCGAGAGACAGAGAGAGAGTTACCGAGATGTTCCTCTTCCGCCTCCTTGCGAAGCAACAAGATTACAATGGCAGCTCAAGCAAGCAAGGAGAAGAAAGCTCTCTGGCAAGTAGCTCTCCCTCCAATATCAATTTTGCTTTAAACGACGTCGTTGCTTAACCAGTTACACGAAATAAAGAAATATCAAAAAAATTTGTTCCATTTAAAAAGAAATTTTTTTTAATTTGTCTTTCAAAATGATCTATTTCTCTTTAATAATTCAAAAAATAAAAATAATATTAAAAAAATAGTATCAACCTTGATTAGAGGTCTAAATCTTGTTATCCTCTTAAATTGTCAAACTAAAGATAATTAAATAAAATTATAGATTTTTTATTATTTAATTTATTTTTTTAGTTCAACAATAATTTAAAGATCTCAACTATGAATTAATACAAATTAAGCGTACACTGGGAGGTGGAATCCTATGACAGATATTGTTCCCTTTCTAAAAAATATGGTTCATTCGACTTCGACATGTATTGTAACAGCCCAAGCCCACCACCGCTAGCAGATATTATCCTCTTTAGGTTTTTTCCTTTCGAGTTTCACCTTAAGGTTTTTAAAACGCATCTCCTAAGGAGAGGTTTCTACACCCTAATAAGAAATGCTTAAGTGACATAGGATCTCACAATCTACCCGACCTAACATCCTCACTAGCACACCGCCCGATATCTGGCTCTGATACCATATATAACAATTCAAGGCTACCACTAACAAATACTTTTGACGTCGGCCCCTCGCGGTGAATTAAATTTTCCATGAAGATTGAAATAAATACTTTTTACTCGAATAGAGAGTAAAATGAATCTTACAGTAATGGTAAAATAGAAAGACATCATAACATAAATTACCCTGAGAATATGGAGTAAGCGATGCCCCTTTCCAACGCAAGTTAAAATTAGATCTTACACAACAAACAAAGAGTAAGAACATTCCAAACTCGTTCACGACAAAGCTTCTGAAGGAAGAAACTCCATTTCTGTAAGTGGAGATATTACAAAGTTAACACAAACCATACACAATCAAGCTTAGGAAGAAGAGGGAAGAGGGGTTAGATTTATTAGTTGTGAGCATAAACAAGATGCACAATCAAACTTCCTGGTTAAATCAATTTCCTACCTTTACTTTCAATGCTAAACCAACCATTTTTAGACTATTCGACCAAACCAAACCAACCAACAAATCATTAACACTTACGCGTCGACACAAGTGACCGCTCCGCTATACATGTGTTGCCGTGGGTTTGAAACAATCGATGTTGCATAGTCCAACCGATCTCACCATGTCCCCAAACCTGCAAGAGAACGCAATGCAATCAAGACTATCAGAAGAAAGTTGTACACATGATATTGGGTGCGCTATGAACTATGAAATGAGAAGTCAGCAGGCAGACCGGTCGATGCTGTTTCTCGCTTTCTCAGGCTGGTCGGCACCAGTTGCCACTTTCTCTGGTCGATCCAACATCTTCCTCGACCGATCTCCGTTATCATTTGCAACTTTAACCTTTTCCCTACAGTCTGTGCTAATCCTTGGCTTATCTCTCTGATCAACACTCATTCTGGTTTTTTCTCTTTGATCTGAGCTGGGTCTAGATTTTTCTCTGAAATCCGTGCTGTTTCTCGGAATGTCGAGCTGATTCGTGACTAGCCCAAGAACTCCGCTCCTCAGATGTGATTTCTCAATGGCAGAAATGAACTTCTTGAGATGTCTTATGTATTGTGGGAAAAGTTCCAAGTCACAATGGTTTCCTCCCTTTATCCACAAGGGCTCGTACTTCTCTTTACAAAGATCCCAAAGTTGCTTTCCATGGGACCAATCAACAACGTCATCAGCAGTTCCCTATCAAGATACAAGAACATATATTACACAATTTGTGAGTGAGTAGCAACCAGAAACCAATCATATGTCAGATGGCATCATTTGATAGGCAGGTGATAGTTAGCAGCTAGACATATCCAACAAGTTCAATCAAAGCTCATGTTTCTTTTCATGGATCAGACATTCGTACACGTCAACAGATAACGTCGGTAGACACTCGTGTAAATATGAACTACAGCAACAGCCTTGATCCACTTCAAGTCCATAATTAAAATATAGAAGTCTCTTTTCTTTTCATTCTATACTGCAGCATGACATGCTTCAAACGTGAAAATTAAGTGTTTTATAATATCCTTCAAGCGATATGTTAAAGTCGAATCCACTGAAATAAATGATTTCTACATTGGGTCTAAAGAGGTTTAAATGCCTATGAACTTACATAAAGAAACGGAAGGTGTCCAACTGTTCAGAGTTTTCAAAATTTTATGCTAAATGTAATGTAACAGTTCAAGCCCACTTCTAGCAGATCTTGTCCGCTTTGACCCGTTACATATCACCATCAGCTTCACGGTTTTAAAACGCGTTTGTTAGGGAGAGGTTTCCACACCCTTATAAGGAATGTTTCATTCCCCTCTCCAACTAATTTGGGATCTCACTATCCACTCCCCCTTGAGGGTCCAGCATCCTTGCTAGGAGATCGCCCAGTTTCTGGCTCTAATACCATCTGTAACAGCTCAAGCTCACCATTAGCAGATATTGTCCGTTTTGGCCCATTACGTATCGCCGTCAGTCTCACTGTTTTAAAACACATCTATTAGGGAGAGGTTTCCACACCCTTATAAAGAATGTTTCGTTCCCCTCTCCAACCGATGTGGGATCTCACAATGTCTTTCCCATTGCATTTAAAGATATAATTTTATGGTAATGCATTGAAGAATCAATCAATGTTTGAAGGCTTACTTCGCTACTACTCTATAGTACACCAACTGTCCACATGTTCAAGCATTCAAGATCTTAGTAAACACCAAATGTTCGAAAGGAAACTCACATGAATTACAAGAACTGGACAATTGACCAATGGTATTTTGTCAATATTCTGCAATACAGAAAATGAAAGAACGAGCATCAATAACACATAACTAACCAGCAATAAATCGTTAAAAGTAACATTAGGAATTAACGAACGTAAACCTTATAAATGTCGAACCAGAATGTTCGCTTCACTGGATACATGACTCGAACACCTGACAAGATCGGGCTGTGAAGAACAATGGCCCTCAAGTTTGGTAAACGAGTAGCCAAATCTAAAGTCGGTCCGCTGCCAACTGATTGCCCATATAAGATAACATCTTCCTCCTTTGCACCATATCTCTCCACTAAGCATCTATAGACAGCTTCAATGTCTGCATAAGTATTCTGCTCACTTGGCTGGAGAAAGGGATTATGCAAAAGGGAAAGGTCAGCTAAATTCCACTCAGTAGAACAATACTCTTAACATAATTTGCCAGCCACTTTTCATCCTTAAACAGAGCAGACAAAGCTAAGAACAAAGCGGATAGATCCTGAGATTCAAAACATTCCCATCCTCTAATCTAACCAAGATGAAAAATAATAATGTTCATACCTTTCCAGTAGATTGACCATATCCCGAATAGTCGTACCTAAAAAAGGGCATAATGACAAAAGGCAGCTTTCAAAAACCCAGATTCAAATCAGTTACATACAAAGCATTTAAAGCCAAAGGTTCACAAACCCCATCAAGTTGACTCTAAGATGAACACTAAGCTCGACAAACAAATCGTACATCTGCCCCAAATCGGCAGCGTTCCCATGAGAGTAGAGCAATGTTAAAGTAGCCGATGAATTCTTTACATACAGGGCCACAACCTGGTTCCCTCTCTTGGTACTAAGCTTCAAAACGTCGACGTTTCCCCTCGCCACCACCTCCGTCATCACCAGCTTCCCGCTGCCTTCCTCCACTTCCTCCACCTTATACGACGGAGGATTCGGCGGAAAGAACGCAAACTTCGCCGCCATGGACGAAGTCACCGCCCCCATCTCCGTTCAAATACCAGTGAACCCAATACAGAACAAAAAATAACCCAGATCATGAAACAAAACAAACAAACAACATACCCAGAACCCCACAACGATCTCAGTTCCCGTCAGAACAAAAACGTCAAATCCAGGTACGGAGGAGGAAGGGTTATAATTTGTTCGAGTGGTGGGAATGGGAATTTAAGTGAGAAGGAAGAGAAAATGAAGCTCTGGATTTTAGGGTTGAGAGTGGAATCGGGGGGTGGGAAAATGGAGGCTTTTCCGGCGGGGAGGGGGAAGGGAAGCACGTGTGGGCATTATTGGGAGAGGAGCTGAAGGAGGAGTGCACTGGTGACAGTGATGTGTGAAAAAGAAAAGGTACAGTATCATTGACTGAATGACACGTGTCCTTGTAGGGTACAGGGATGTATAACGGGAGACAAGGAGTGGATGGTTGTTTTTACTGCGTCACAGCCTTTTTTATTTTTTTTATAATTTTTTTTAATTGAAAAATACCTTTTTTTTTCTTTGGGTAAAAGTTAAAAAATACTTCGGTTCGTACACTCTCGTTGAAGTACGGTTAATTCTTTCCATCTTAGTAATTTAATTATTTATTTTTTTTTTTAACAATTTACAATTATAGTTTTTTCCATTTTTAACGAAAAAAAGTTTGTAAGGTTGTTGAATTTAACTAAATTGTAACAATTTGTGTAAATATTTATCAAAATATATATATATATATATGGATTTAAAAATGTACAGACTAACGTGTCAATACGAGCAAATGTATGACAACGTGCCTCACGTAATAGTCTAATGAAATCCCACGTTAGTTGGCGAGAGGAACGAAACGTTCTTAATAAAGGAGTGAAAATCTCTATCTAGTTCACGTGTTTTAAAACTTTGAGGAAAAACGCAAATATAATATCTATTAATAATAGGTTTAGAATATTACAAATGATATCAGAGTCACGTATTAGGTGATATGCCAACGAATACATTGAATTTTCAAGAGAATGGATTGTGATATCCATCAGTGAAATGGGAAGTTATTTAGAGTACACAAGTTGTTAATTTAATAATTATACGGCGGAGTAAAGTGTTATTTATTATTTTTACTTTTTTATGTTTTTGGATTTGGGAGTAGTTTGGAATTGGCGTTTGTTTGGTAGTGTGGTTATGTGGGGGGAACGGCCGTACTGGTGGTGTTTAGATGCTGGGATAAGGCTGGCAAAGGCTGTCTTTTCATTGATATGCCCGCGTCCCTTCAATTTTTTGTCTTATACGAACTCTTATTTCTTATGCAAAACTTGAAATTGGTAAATTATAATTTATCGTTCTAACTTGAATTGGTTTTTTTCATTTTTTCATAAGAAATGGTTCGTTCTTCCCTCTAACTGACCTGAGATTTCACAATTCAACTCCTTTGAAAGTCAATATAGTAGTAGATATTGTTCGTTTTTACCTGTAACGTAATGCATCTACCAGAAAAAGATTTTCACACTCGTTTAACGAATGCTTAGAATGAAAATCATCAATGTTTTGAAAGAGTTAGCTTTGATGGGGTCATCTGTGTACCAAACCATCTCTTATTTCCCAAATTATTGCAAACAAAGGAAAGGATAATAATTGGTCATTAATTTTTGTACAATCACTTTCTTTTTCTATTAAAATAATGGAAAAGACAATAAAATCGTAATTAAACATTTTTATTAATTATTAACAAAAAAAAAAAAAAGTTTTATTGTAAAAAATATATATAATAATTAAATTAAATTGTCTATAGATTGTCATATATCAGCACGAAAACCAATTTTTTTACTTGGATATCACTGTCTCGATTTGAAAATTGTCATTTTCGAACTTATTATTTTGCATTAAAAAGCTATCGTTATATTAATCGTTGTATCCCGCTGAGGAAACCGATTTTAATACACATGGTACTAAGGGCAGAAAACGTAGCTCTGCGGAGATGCTCTATAATAGTTGCTATCAATGTGTGGTTGTGACAATAAGACTGTTCCTGAGCTTGGTTTACTGCTATGTCTCTGCCATTCAATTCATTTCCTTCTGCCTATCTCCATTGGAATGTACACTTATTTTTCTGTATTGTCCTTTGCTGCAAAACCTCTTCATCTTCCACCTATTTTACTACATTATTCCAAATCAATTTTTACGACCATATTAAGTTGTTTTTGACAAATATAATGTATTTGTGTAACAATACAAGCCTATTGTTAGTCGATATTGTTTTATTTGAATTTTTCACTTGAGATTCTAAAACACGTTTGTTAGGGAGATGTTTCCTTCCACTCTCCAACCGAGGTGGGATCTCACAATCCCCCTCTTGGAGATCCAACGTTGTCCTTGCTGGTACACAGCTTCACTTCTTGGAGTCCAATGTTCCTACTGACACACCGTTTGATGTTTGATGTTTGATGTTTGATGTTTGTTTTTTATAACAAATACTATTTAAATTTTAAAATTTATTAAAAATGTTAAAGAGTTATTATTATTATTATTTTAATTTTATTATTATTTCTTTGTTAAAATTGGTAAAACATAGAAAATAAGAGACGTGCAACATCACTCACATCAATTGACGTGACAGTTAGTACGTAAAAATTTATACGTAAATGAATTGAACAATATCTTTTTAACTACGATAACTACCTTATTTCTCTATGTAATTATAAATAATGTCACGTCAGATTATTATTTTTTATATATTATTTGTTATGTTGATGTTTATTTTTTATTTAATAAAAATTACTTTTAGAGTAAATTTGAAACTTTTCACCATCTGATATAAAAATTTTTAATTCAATAATATTTAATAATATCTTTAGTTGAATATTTTAATATTAAGGATTAATATAAACTAAAATTTCGAATTTTAGTATTGAAATAAAAATTAACATCACACTAATTTAACGATAAACTATTCCAGAATATTTTAATGTGATTATTAGTTTTAAGATAGAAATTTAAAAATATTTAAAAGTTATTATTAAGAAGAATGCAAATTTAAATTAAACTATGTTTTAATAATATAATTTCTCTTGTGGCATTTTCTTTAATTGGATAAGCACGAAGGCAGATAAAAACAGACCGAGTCGATCAAATATAAATCGAGATATTTCACGTGGCAGCTTTTGATTCGGTGAGGATCCAGTCTCACGAACGCATTACCGTACCTGAATAGGGGATTTGAACCTCCCATTTATATTATATTTCTTATTTATTTTAAATCATTCGCCAGAAATATTCGCGGAGAAAACCGAAGAAAGAGCGGGCGAGTACTTGCTTGAGAAAAATGGAAGGAAGGAGAATGGAAAGAATCAGGGTTCTCTTTAACGTTAGGTCTTTCTCTTAATTTGGATGCCGGATTTCTAATCTTCGAGCTCTAAGGAAGGTTTTTGTTCATGGCGGAACCTGGTAGAAGCCTCATCTCTGCCGACAAAGCTTCTGATCGGCGTTGTCAGGTTTCATTTGGGCTTCAATGTTTTCGTTTTTTGATTTGGGTCAGTGACTGATTCTCTTGTCTAAGGATCTGATGAATGAAGTTTGGGTTCGTTTTCATTTTGTTTTTCTGTTCAATTTGAAATGGAACGGTTGTTCTGGTTGATTATTCTGTGCACTTGGTTGAGATTTTGGGAGATAGGTTTTGACATCCGAAGTTGAAAGGTGCTGTTTCGCCTGGAATTTTTGGATCTTTTCGAGTGAAGATATTCAATTCTGTTCTGCATTTAGAGTGCATAGGGGAGTTTTGCTGTGTACTTTGTGAATTAGACCATCGCCATGGATGGGATTGGGGAATCTTCTCAATCTGGGTCTGGAATTGTTGAGTCTAAATCTTTGGGAAGTGGGGTTGTTCGTGAAGACAATAGGGTTGCTGAACAAGTGTCGCCCCTGGGAGGTGGGGGGAGGAATACTAGTCCATTGGGTAGGGCAGGATCCAGAAACACTAGTCCTTCGAGGCAGAAGGTTATAAAGACCAAACCTCGTGGTTTAGATGAAGAAACAGTTACAACATTTAGTAAAGCATCCCATCCAGATGTTCAAATGGAAGATGGTATATGGGCGATGCTGCCTGAAGATTTGTTAAACGAGATCTTAGCTAGAGTTCCTCCATTTTTAATCTTTAGGCTTCTTTCTGTTTGTAAGAGGTGGAATTCTATACTTCAAGATACTAGTTTTCTTAAATTTCATGCACAAGTGCCTTCACATGGGCCTTGTCTTCTCACATTTTGGAAGAATTCTCAAACCCCCCAATGCTCAGTCTTCAGCTTGCCATTAAAAACATGGTATAAGATTCCCTTCACATTTTTTCCTCCTTGGGCATTCTGGTTGGTTGGTTCATCTGGCGGTCTTGTTTGCTTTTCTGGGCTTGATGGACTAACTTTCAAAACCTTGGTATGCAATCCCCTCACACAAAAGTGGAGGGCCTTGCCAAGTATGCACCATAATCAGCAGAGGCAGCTGATTTTGGTTGTTGATCGGACTGATCGGTCATTTAAAGTCGTAGCGACTAGTGATATTTATGGTGACAAGTCACTGCCCACTGAAGTTTATGACTCAAAGCTGAACCGTTGGTCACTTCATCAAACTATGCCTGCTGTAAACCTCTGCTCCTCGAAGATGGCATATTGTGATTCCAAATTATACTTGGAAGCTCTTTCTCCACTTGGTTTAATGATGTATCGGCTGGATACAGGCTATTGGGAACATATTCCTGCTAGGTTCCCTCGTTCTTTATTGGATGGGTATTTGGTTGCTGGTACACAGAAGCGCCTATTTCTTGTTGGAAGGATTGGTCTTTATAGCACTCTTCAAAGCATGAGAATTTGGGAACTAGATCATGCTAAAATTATGTGGGTGGAGATTAGTAGAATGCCACCTAAATATTTTCGTGTTTTGTTGAGGTTATCGGCAGAGAGATTTGAGTGCTTTGGACAGGATAATCTGATCTGCTTTACATCTTGGAACCAAGGAAAGAGTCTTCTTTATGATGTCGATAAGAAAGTATGGTCTTGGATTGCTGGCTGTGCTTTGCAGTCATGTAACAGCCAGGTCTGCTTTTATGAACCAAGATTTGATGCTTCTGTATTCTGAGCTGACTTCTTTTTTTCCCTTGATGATTCTTTATTACATCCATTCTTATCTGAGGCACAATTTTTCATGACTTCTTCATGTACACATCCTTGTATATGGTTTCCTCACTTTGTGATTACTGGCCGATCATCTAAGTTTCTTCTGCTGTTTGCTGGATCAATTCCATTCCAATGTCATAATCCTAGGAGGCCAATTTTGTTTGCAAGGTTTAGCAGTAGTAAGAATAGTTTCAACCAAGACTTTCCTTGCATGGGTTTAATGACGTGCTAGCTTGAGCATGGGATGAGAACTGCATTCAAGAAAATTTTATGTGGGTGGTATTTGGGAAGAATGGAAGCCAAGCTTGTATTTTCAGATGTGTTGGTTTAGGTTCAGTTCGAGTTATCTCTATGGAAATTAGCTCCATTGCTCTTGCAGTTCAATCTGAGATATTATTGTGAGCTGCTGACTTCAAAGTTCAACTATGACGATCAAGAATGTTAATGCCAATTTCAGGAAATTGCAGTGCTGGGTTTGGTTCTTGGTCACTAGCTGCTTAAGTTAAACGTAGTGCTTCAAGAGGTTCTTAACAATCTGAGCTTTCAGGCGAACTTCTATGGTTGGAGTTGAAAACCGAAATTGTTGTTTTGATCATTGCATATATATAGGCTTCAGAATTTTTCCCAAATGTAAAATGATTGATTTGTACGATCTGTTCAGGACGTTATAAAAAGGACAATTTCTTCAAGTCGAACAGGAACTCTTATACCAAACCAGCTATTGTCCCTTGTTATGTTTTTAAATCTAATGTTAATTGGCTTCAAAAGTCTCAAGTCTTGATTTCCCCCCTCATCCTAATTACTAATTACTGTTAGGACTAATATTGTCAACAGATTGAAGCTTGCCTTCTGAGATGAAATCCAGTATTTCACCAGTGTGAACTACCCTCTGGTTCAAAAAGTTGATTAATTTCAGATTTCGTGTTCATGAGATCCCATCTTAATACACCCCATCCCTTAGGCACAGGTTCTGATGGGGTTATTTAAGAAGTTGAGCTAAAGAATAGGGTGCCGTTCACTTAATAAGGTGCCAAATGGCCTGCAAGAGCAAGCTTATGTTGCCATCAAGGATACTTTTTTTTCACATTGATTCATAGTAAGTATGCTGTTACCTCAAAGTAGAAAGGAAAGCAAATGTAATTGTAGCACGGAGATAGATCAAGAAGGCAAGGTTCTTCCAGTTTGAGTTATTATCTTGGAACCCGCGGGCCTCTTTGGAATACTCCAAACCGTCTTGGATGAAAAACTCTCGACTTTGCCGAGGATTTGGGATTGTTCAGCTTATTTTGCATCAATCCCGTTACATCATCAGACTTAGGAAGCCATTGAATTGTGAATCATTCAAGGTAAACACTGGTCCCCATCTGTACCTTTTTCTTTGCTTGCATGAAAAGAAAACAATCCATAGGGCTAGGTAATGGAAAAATGTCTTCAAATCCTCTATATTTTACTTATTTCTAACGAGCATTTCAAGTTCTGCACACATCAAGAATGTATATGATACAAGAGATGGGCTTCGAAATCCTAGCTTTAACTTGATTTTGAGTCTATTTATTTGAAGCTCTCATTCCCTTTTTCCAATGTGAAACGCTTATACAGGAGAATTAAGTAACTAGTAAACAGTTCTATGGGTTTTGTTTATCATCTTCGTAGTTGGGAAGTCTCTTGCACTCACTATTCGAGGTATATTTTGCATTTCTTATCCTGCAGTTTTTATGAATCTGTACGTTGCTGTTTCTTAATGTGTTCTTAAATTCTTATACAAGGTATAAAAGCTGGCTTACAGGAACCAAATAAAATGCTTGATTGTTACAAAGGGTATGCTTCATTTCTTCATTAGCTTAAAAAATAAACTCTTTTTCGCTTCTGCTTTTCTACATATTATACTGGGGGTTTCTGATTAGGCAACAGGATCACAATTTCAGCAGAAAATTCCCCATGATATTGGTGATACCACGAGAACTGGTAGAATTGTTTAGGAAGAAGGAGATCATTTGAGTATTTACTAACGATTAGAGAAGAGGTGCCGAATGGTGTTAAAAAGGATTCAAATAACATAGCTGAAGGAAGAGACCTTTAGATTGACTATGAGACCCTCAACGCCAACCTCCTGGACATAACTTCATGAAAGCAAAGCGTTGAGTTCATACCCTTTTTTCTACCTGGTGTGGTCTGTTTAGTTCATTCCATCTTTGTACTTTGAAGATTCATATATATCAATTATTAATCATCTGCTTTCAGGTAGCTACTGGCTAGAGAAGATGAAGAAAAGCAAGGGAGGGAAGACTATGTGATTGGCTAAGCTTGAGAAGAAGAGAGATGAAATTGTACGGTCGGTTCGGTCCTAGCTTAAAAAATATTCATGAACTTTAAAAAGTAATATTAAATAGTTTGAAAAACAATCTATGAGGTGTCGATAGATTATTTTTGTCCTTACATTGATGATAATTTTTTTTCAAATATAAAGTTAAGTAGTGTTAATGCTACTTTTTAAAATTTTATGGATATTTTTTAATCATAGTTCTAACTTACATGTATTTTTGAACTTTTTAAAAAAATTAAAAATATTAATAGAACTAGGTTAAAGTATTAATAAAACTTTTTAAAGTTGAATGGAAACGATGAAAATGAAAGTTTTAAAGTTTAATTGATTTTGATTGACTTTCATTATCCGTACTAACCGACTCTAACCGAATAAAGTCGTTGTCCAAATCGATCAAACTGCTGAAATATCAAAATTAATTTAATTAAAATCAACGCTCTATAATTTTAGATAATTCAAAATTGATGTTGGTATGAAAGAAGATTATCAAATTCAAAATTTGAACTCAATTAATCTTAGTTTATCGATTAACATTGTTTGTTATTCATTGGGAATAAAACTTCCAGTAATTAATATATTAAAAGAAATTAGAAAGAAGATTAATAATATTAATAAAAAAGGTTACAAATTAGAGCCATTTTTTCTTTCATTTGATTTCTCCGGCGCTCCAACGTTCATATCGTCGACGGTTTTCCACGGTCAAAGTCAAAACGGTCTTCAGAGCCGTTACCCGCCATTCTCGGATGCCAGCTGTCACGGACCCTGCGTGCGCGTATTTCACTCGGGCTTATATATATCTCCCGCACGCACACTTTCTTCTTCAGCACATTCTCACACTAGAATCAGAGCGCTCCATCAACGGCCTCTTCCCTTTTCAGTGTTCGTTGCCCAAACCGAAGGCTAGATAGTTACAAGGCTCCATCAACGACCTCTTCTCTTTTGAGTGTTCGCTGCCCAAACCAAACGCTACATTGTTACCAGGCAATCGGAGGAAGAGAGAGCAGAATTCAAAGAAGTTTCTCGCCTCGTTTCGGTGATGAAAAATAAAGGTGAAGTACAGTGATGATGACTCTGCTCTCTCTTCCTCTGATTGCCTTCAAATTTCGTTTCAGCCTTCTAGTTTATGCGTACTTTGATCGCTGTTTTGGGTTTGAAATTTTAAGGGTACGGTAATGATTCTGCTCTCCCTTCCTCCGATTGCCTTAAAATTTCGTTCTCAGCCTTTTAGTTTTACGGGTAGTTTGGTCGCCGGTCTGAGTTTGAAATTTTAAGGGTACAGTGACAATTCTGCTCTCTTCCTCCGATTGTCTTAAAATTCTGCTCTCTCTTCCTCCGATTGCTTTAAAATTTCGTTCTCAGCCTTTTAGTTTATGCGTAGTTTGGTCGCTGTTTTGGGTTTGAAATTTGAAGGGTACTGTGTTGATTCTGCTCTCTCTTCCTCCGATTGCCTTAAAATTTCGTTCTCAGCCTTTAAGTCTTACGGGTAGTTTGGTCGCCGGTCTGAGTTTGAAATTTTAAGGGTATAGTGATGATTCTGCTCTCTCTTCCTCCGACTGCCATAAAATTTCGTTTTCAGCCTTTTAGTTTTACGGGTAGTTTGGTCGCTGGTCTGAGTTTGAAATTTCAAGGATATAGTGATGATTCTGCTCTCTTCCTCCGATTGCCGTAAAATTTCATTTCAGCCTTTTAATTTTATGCGTAGTTTGGTCGCTGTTCTGGGTTTGAAATTCATTTTTAGGAATTCACTGGAGAACTTCAGAGGTTATTCTTATTTAGGGGTTCAAAAATAATTCAAGTGAACAAAATAAAATGATCCAGGGGTCAAAAGAAGCTACAAAGGATATAAGAAGGCGTTCCAATTAATGCAAATATCCTGTAACGAAAATCGAACAAATGACTTTGAGAGAGAACACCAAGTTTAGACGAGCTTATTCGATTCTTTGATTTCTTAAAATCTATAATTTTAATAAAATAGCTTTCACTGCATTAATCCATAGTTCAATTAGAAAACACACTGAATATTGAAAACCAAGAACCACTCTCCTAGTCTCTGTTATATGGCATGATAACATACTTTCTATGGTTTCTTTAGAAGTTTTTGTCTTGCTAGCTTGCTTCATTGGAAATTACTATATGGGTCGCCAGTCACCCGACAAGGTGCAAAAATGTTGTGAATGGGATTTGACAATTGAATAACACTACAAAATTATTCATGTTGGATTATTTTATGCATAAGCAATAAAATAAGTTAATTCTTGATGCAAAATTTTGAAAATTGATATTTGTATCTGCATTCACCAGATCACCCATTTACGCCCTCTTTCCGTGAGGAAACACTGCGTTCAGAGGTAGTAGTGCAGTTTCTTGATGCTAACTTCATCTGTTGGGGAACACTTGCAAACAGAGGAGATGGTCTGCAGATGGCTACAACATTGGGAGCTACCAATTTCCCGTCCTGTGCTGTAATTGCTCCAGCTCCAGGCGAAAGCATAACAGTCCTGCAACAGGTTGGTTTGGCTTGAGTTCCAAATTTTCTGTTTTAATTAAACTCTTTTGCAGATCCCCCTCTCATATTTCTGAAGATGTCTATAGGGCGTCAGTTGATTGGCATAATAAACGTTCTCTCAAGGCACTCAACTCTTTCGCTTTATGGTCTTTAGATAGCATTCATGCTGACTTTGCAACTCAACAAGCTAGTGCCAAATGCTCTAAAAAGGGAGCACAACATGCTTCCTCAAAATCTCAGGTATCAGTGGTTTGTTTATTTGAAGTTTATTAACTAGTTTTCAACCTTGTTTGTTTTCTGGAAATTTGTAAAGCTAAAATGAACTGCAGGGACTTCAAGGATGATCTAAAAGAGGCTGAAAAGCCTAGGAAATCTATTTCTTTGATGAAATTAGAGTGTTAAAGCCATCTTCGGCAAGAAATGGAATCCCACATAGATAGATACTACAATACCTAATAATGGTAATAACAATACTACAATTTTCTGTATGATTCAAGAATTAATATATTACTGCATAACAGGTTGCCCTATTTGTAGTCCTAGCAATGGTATTACGAAGAAAACCTGAGATTGATATTAATAAGGGAAAACTCAAAGTTTCAAGTACAGGACAAGCTTCCAGTACTTGTCTGGATGATAGTTCAGGTGAATTGATATTGATGTGTTTTATAATTCATTGATGTTTAGTTTCTTTTTTTATGCTTCTTATACTGGATTTCCTTATTCCCATGTCAGGCTTGTCAAGCAGATCTTGCAATAGGGCTTTATGCATGGGCACATTACCTTTTGCCCATAGTTAGTAGTAGAAGTTGTAATCCCCAGTCTAGAGTGAAGGTCGGTATAGTCAAGAGAACTGTTGCTGTTATCTAATATGCTGAAAACAATATGCAAGTTTTTTTTTTTACATTGTACCATTTGCAGGCTACTGAAAGGTTTGAGGCTATCTATCCAACCTTGAAGGAGGTTACACTTGCTGGCTCTCCTGGTAGTAAAGCATTGAAACAAGTTTCAGAGAAGATATTTAGTTTTGCTGCCAAAGCAGCAGGAGAAAGTATGATACTTTGATTTTCTTTCTTTTTTTTTGTACCATTTTGCATATCAACAGTGACTGAGAGAATATCCATTAATAGGTGTTTCAGAGCTATCTGGAGAAGCAACTAACGTTTTCATTTGGTGTTTGACACAAAATGTTGATTGCTACAAGCAATGGGTGAGTTATTCTAGTTCTCTTCCTATACATTTAATCATTTTCATTCCAATTTTCAACTGATCTGGAATATTTTCAAATTCATCCTTTAAAATATGCAATTGTATTTTGCAGGACAAGATTTATGAGGATAACCTAGCAGCTAGTGTTTCTGTTTTGAAAAAGCTTTCTGATGACGCCGAACTAGGCACCTCTTTCGAGTATGGGAAGCCGAAAATCCCCTGGTAACAAAACTGCACCAACTAGTTAGTCCTTTTAAATCCTTCTTGTAATCCTCTTGAGGATACAAAAGTAGTGGCTTTAGTAAGTTTTTAAGTTAATGCTGCTCAACAAGGCTCAATACTCATTTTAGCGTCTTTTAATAAGCCTTTGTGACTTGTTATTTAATGGTGTTAACTTTAAAATTTTGTGTGTTAATCATATATGACATATATAACATGATAACATCCTCTGATTAAGTTACATTACTTTTTTCTTAAAGGTAGAAGGAGTTTGGTCAGCTGAAGAGGAAAAGGCAGAGTCTAAGAAAGAATTTGGTGCAGAGTCTAAAAAGATGTAAGCTTCTGATGGGAGTGAATTTTAGAAAGTATGTTTTGTTGAAATATCATCACTAGCTCAATAAAGTTAAGCCCAATAATTGTACGATCACATTGTATATTTATTTTAGTGACTCTGCAAGTCTTGTGTCGAAAGAGCTTGTTTGGTATTACCGAGGTATGGCCAACACGATGGGTGATTTCCAAATCGTTAGAGGAATCAAGAAACTCAACAATAAAAACTACACGTGGGCAACATGCATGATGCCCTATTTACAAGGACAAGATCTTTGGGAGATCGTTGGCGGGTGTGAAACTATGCCGCCAAAGGAGGATTCTAACGGCGCCTTGCGTAAATGGAGAATCAAAGCAGGCAAAACAATGTTTGCCTTGAAGACCACAATCGGAGAAGAGATGTTAGAACATATTTGGGATGACAAGACACCGAAAGAAGCATGGGACACATTCGTGATGTTGTTCTCAAAGAAGAACGATACAAGGCTACAACTCCTGGAGAATGAGTTGTCAACTTCACAACGTGACATGACAATTGCTTAGTACTTCCACAAGGTCAAGTCGAATTGTTGGGAGATTACTGAACTAGACCCGAAGTCTGCCATTGTAGAATCTCGAATGAAGAGGATTATAATTCACGGATTGCGACCGGAATATAGAAGCTTTATTACTGCTGTACAAGGATGGCTCACTCAATCATCACTTGTAGAGTTCGAAAATTTGTTAGCCAGCCAAGAAGCCATGGCTAAACAATGGGAGGCATCACATTGAAGGGTGAAGAAGAAGCACTCTACACAAGTGAAAGTCGGAGCAATAATAGGCCGTCTACCAAACGTGGATACAATGGTGACAAAAGAAGTTACAAAGGAACTTCACAACCCGAGAGAGCTCAGAAAAACGACAACAAGAGTTTCCAAGGAAAGAGATTTGAAGGTATTTGCTATAATTGCGGGAAAAAGGGCCACATGTCTAGAGATTGTTGGTCCAGTAAAAAGTCGGTTGAAAGCAATGTGGCAATATCCAAAAAGAAGATAGAGGATGAAAGGGATGTAGAGGTACTATGTCCAATAATAGAAGACGAGCTAGCACTCATGGCAATGATGGAAGAGCATATCGATTACGAGGATGACTGGATCATTGATTCAAAATGCTTAAACCACATGATTGACGATCAAAGCGGTGCAATGAAAGAGGGGTAACCCTCAGAGAAGGAAGAATTACCCGACCTTGAGCTAACTGAAAAAATTATTTTACAGAACACAGAGGAGCAAACGGAAGAAATTCTTTTACAGAACACAGAGGAGCAAGCGAAAGAAATTTTTTTATAGAATACAAAGGAGCAAATGGAAGAAATTCTTTTATAGAACACAAAGGAGCAAACGGAAGAAATTCTTTTACAGAACACAAAGGAGCAAACTGAAGAGATTCTTTCACAAAAGACGGGGGAGCAAATTGTACACATTTGCTTAAGTGTTGATGTGCCTGAAGATTCAAGTGACACTAGTGTTGGTGAGCAAGAAGTGACTCAACCAAGCGAGACTAGTGAAAATGAAATGACACCTCAACAACTCAGACATTCAAAAATAATCCTAAAGGCAAATCCAGAGTATGTCAATGCAGTAGAAGACGAAGTTAATGAGCCGGAGACATATGAAGAAGCATCACAAAACTCAGCTTGGCAGAAAGCGATAGAGGAAGAAACTATAAGGCAAAATAAGACCTAAAGAATTGTTTAAAAGAAACGGGTGTCATATCCCCAAGAGGAGCCCAATTGACCCAAAAGATATTCCAATCAAACCAAATAAGATTTAATGGTAATTAAAAAAACTGTACACAGAGGTGTGATCTAATAAGGCTACACTGCACCCAAGGGCGGGTACGAGGTTGACTCTCACAACTTGTTGGGTACTGGGAAGGAAATATGACAAGGAAATACGAACCAAGATATAAGGAAAAACACAAGGATGACCAAGAAAGACTTTAAGTACATGGCCTTAAGGCAGGACAAAAGGCCACAAGGGAAAATCAGAAAAACATGTTTGAGAAGGAGAAATCGATGCAAGGTCCCTCAAGGAACTTGGAAGGACATAACTAAGACCAAGTACTCCTCCCATGCATGGTAATAAAAGTGAACTTTCAAGGACGAAAGTTTTTAAGAGGGGAGAATTTGTAAGAGCCCAAGTAAGACTAAAGATACTCGGGTCAGTTTAGTTTTAAGGGATCCAAAAAAAGGACTAAGAGACCGAAGGAAGGTTAATGGGCCAAACGAAGAGATTTTCAATACCCTAGCAAGAAATTCTAAGGATTCAAGTCTTTGAAAAAGAAATAGTAATTACTCCGAGGAAAGACGGACTTAAGACCTGAAAACCCACCAATAAGCCGTGTATAAGAAAGAAAGAACAAGAGAAGTCTCTAAAACCTTAAAGAAACAAGGTTGTTTATGTAAAAACTTGTTGGGAACGAGAAAGGAAATATTCTCCAAGATATAAGGAAAAACACAAAGATGGCTAATAAGTAAATAAATGTTCAATAGTGACAAATAATAAAATAATTAAAATTACTCTCTTAACCTTTAAATTTATATTTATTTAGTTTCTTAATTTTTATTAGTGTTCAATAAGTCTACCAATATTTATTTCCTAATAAATTTTTAATTTACAATTTCCTGAATAATAAATTTTTTATATATTCAGTTTATCAATTTTAAAAAATATTGAAGAATCTATTAAAAATAAAATTAAAAGAAAGAAAGTAAATGTAGGGTCTCCGAGATGTTCTATTTATAGCGCCGACGCCTTCTTCTCTTTACCAACACACCCAAATCATTTCTTCTGATCATCACACATCTCTTCCTCTACCGTCAGACGCCGCTCTTGGCGTCAGACGCCGCCTAATCAGATGGCTGATGAAGTTGGCGATCGTAGTCGGAGTTTGGAGAATCTAAAGAGAACCCATAATAATAATCGAATATATGAATTTATATTGGAAGTTGCAAACTGTAATGAAAATGTTGAATTTAAATATTACTGAATAAAGTATCATAAAAAAAATTCAAACTCGAGAGGAAAAGTCAGAAGTAGTTTGCATACGAAGGAACAGTGATAGAAGAAGACGAGAGTAATGACGGCTGATCTGTGTTGTGATTGTGACATAAATTATTGGACCAATGGGATTTGGGTTCCCACCAAATACGAATTCTCTAATATCCCATTCGCCTCCGCTTCCCTTTTCTTTTTGCAAATTGCATTCTCTAGACTGGGTCCTCTTTGCTCCTATTTAATCTTTGACCCAACTGGAAATTACCATCACAACCGAGGAAATTCATTCCGGGATCGCTGTTCTTCAGCCGACGAGGTCTAAGGAGTTCGTGTCTGTTCTGGGTTTTGCTTAATTTCATCAATTTCGTTTGTTTTCGCCCCTCTTTCGGAATTCTGTAAGTTCTGGCTAATGGGATTTGGCTTTATCGTTGTTTCTATACTTTTGCCTGGTTGCTATGACCGGCGATTGATCCACTTCGCCGGAACTGTGCTGTATTGCTATTTGATTCACTAGTCTAGGTTTAGATGCTTCTTGTGTCAATATAACAGTTTTTGTGTAGTTCATTTGGAGTTTATAGGAATACCCACTTGTTCGAATAAATGGATTAGTGAGTAGCAACTTCTTCTGGCAAAGTCGTTGACATTTGATGAAAGAAACAGAAATTATTGTGATTTACATAATCTATGGCATATGAAATGAAATGATTGATCGTATACGGATTATATGAATCACAGAATGCGGCTAAAGATTAGGACAATGTGTGGGATGAAAAGAATGATTCTTGTCCTTCCATGTGTGATATAGCAAACTGTTGTTTATTGTTTGAGAATTTCATCATCATTCTTGAATATTGGATTTGGACGTTCCATTTTTCATTTGCCTTTTACATAAACATTTTGCAGGCTGCTTGCTGATCAGTTAACTTAACCTTCAGTTATCATTGTGCAAGATGTTTTCTCTGACTGAATATAATGAGGCTAAAGAATGAGTCATCAAGCTGGTCTACTGATCATTGGCATATCTGTTGGTTTGGCACTTGGTATTTTAATTGCTATCCTGGTATTTTATATCATCAGATGGTACCGAAAGAATGCGTATCTTCGGCGAAGTACAGATGAACGGAGTTTAGAAAATATTCAGATTCGAACGAATGGCTCGAATGCAAGTACTGAATTTAGTGCATCTCTTTCTGGTTCCATTGCTTTTCGGGGATCTGAAATGCTTCATAATGGTTCCTGGTCGCCTTGGAGGAGTCATCACCACAAAGACATAGTTGCTTCAGCATCCGGTGTTCTGAAGTACCCTTACAAGTATACACAATATTTAATATGGGCGTTGTTTTATGCTGAAATTATTCGTTTGTGTTTATTTTTAAGTACTTGACGTGAGACAAGCTGTGAAGTTATCTAATGTACTTGTTTCCCGTACTTTTCAGGGATATTCAGAAGGCTACAGAGAACTTCACTACGCTTTTGGGACAAGGGTCATATGGTCCAGTTTATAAAGCGAAGATGGCCAATGGAGCAGTTCTTGCTGTTAAGGTGCTTGCTTCAGACTCCAAGCAGGGTGAAAATGAGTTTCAAACAGAGGTGAGGGTATTAGCCACGTTTCCATTTCCGCCGTCTTGTGTAGTTATTCTATATTCTTTTCCTACCAATCTCATGTATCAATATAGGATGGGTAATGTCTGTTAATATCACTTGTAAGAACACAAATATCTCTAGGATGGTTTCTCATTAAAGGGAGGAGAAATTCAAGATGAAGTTAACTATTTATTACTTTAATTTTGTCCACTAATTATGTCATTAAATTACTCTTGTGGACTCTTTATATTGACTTTATTGTAGATATCACTGAACACTTTATACTAATATCCATAGTTTGGTTTGCTGTAGGTAAGTCTACTAGGAAGATTGCATCATCGTAATCTTGTGAATTTGATGGGGTACTGCATTGATAAAGGAAGCCATATGCTAATTTATGAGTTCATGAGTAATGGAAGTTTGGACGATCTTCTTTACAGTAAGTTTGAAGCTCATCAATCATTTAAAGATATCTTTTTATGATTATTGTTTGCAAATTTTCTGAAAGTACAATCTTATGTTTTCGGGTAAATGTCGAAAACATGTTAGCATTTATAGCATGAAACTTGAAGATTTTACATTATTCTCAGCAATTTAAGACTAATGTGTCAGCGTTTGAATGTTTAGCATTCATAGTTAAACCAATTTACTTTTTGTATATGATTTTCATGCTCTACATGCATTCAGATTCAGAAAATCGTGTCTTGAGTTGGGACGAGAGGCTACAGATTGCTCTTGATATCTGTCACGGAGTCGAGTACCTTCATGAAGGGGTATTCCAAGTTTCTTATTTTTCATACTTTATCGGAGTAAGTGTTTGTTGGATAATTCATTTATATTTTCTTGAAACAGGCTGTTCCTCCAGTCATACATCGTGATTTGAAGTCTGCCAATATATTGTTGGATCATACAATGAGAGCTAAGGTATGTTCTGGAGAGTTTTTCTTATGGTTTGATATCTCACTCAAGGAATGCCAACAATTTAAAGAACACTGGAGATCACCATAGATTTTAAGGGCTGGGATTTTATTTGAGAGTGAGAAATTCTATTTTTTTGTATTTGCCATTCATCATTTACATGCACATGTTATAGGTTGCTGATTTTGGGCTGTCAAAGGAAGAAGTTTTTGATGGCCGGAATTCTGGTCTGAAGGGTACATACGGCTACATAGACCCGGCATACATGGCTACGAACAAGTTCACGATGAAGAGCGACGTCTATAGTTTCGGCATAATCATTTTTGAACTAATCACAGCCATTCATCCACACCAAAATTTAGTGGATTATATCAATCTCGTGAGTGTTTCCTCCATAGTACACAACTTTTTACCTTGAAGTACACATTTCATGATTTTCAGACCAACATTTTCAGGCTGGAATGAGCCCTGATGGGATTGATGAGATAATTGACAAGCAACTAGGTGGAGAATACAACCTTGAAGAAGCAAGAAAGCTAGCTGAAATTGGTCATAGATGCTTGCATAATATTCCGAGAAAACGACCTTTAATTAGCGAAGTTTCGCAGGCGATATTGAAGATAAAGCAGAGGCGACTTGGGAAAGTTAATAACACGTCTTTTGCTAGCATAGATCTTACAAGAGCAGTGAGCAGAATTGAGGAACAACAGGTGGAATTGGGTAGGATTGCTGGCCTAGCGTGAATCATTTCTAATGATTTTAGATGTTTTTCTTTTGGCTTTCCTCAATCTTTGTTATACGTTCTTCCATTTCCCCCTCTTAAAGAAAAAGAAATCATTGTTGTGTTGAACCTGTGGCTTTCATTTTGCCCCCTTTGCTTAATAACTTGGGTGGGTGATACAGATTTTTGTTATACAAAAACCATGTAGTAATATTCACTGTCCGATTTTAACAATTTATGTACCATCAATCAATCCAACTCTACAATAACTCAGCGAATTGGACACTAATTACCATTCTAGAAGTTTGAGGATTCAATATCCCCACGAAAATTGTTAGGATTCGAAATAATAATAACCGACAGATAAACTTACTTACTCAATCCCTCTCTTGAAGTGCCATGGCTTAAATCTCAAATCAATAATTTAAGAAGTTACACATATACTCGCCTATTCAAATTAATAATTAAAGAAACTCCTCGTTTACTCTCTACTCAATATATCTACTCTACTCTACTCTATATGACCGTGTTTACGATCATGATGTCTCTCGAATTATCAAAATTGGGTCACAGCAACACACCAAAAATATTGGGGGGTAAAAATGTAATATTTGATTACCAGGGGCTGAATGTGTATGAAAATTCATAATTCAGAGTCCATAATGTCCACAACGTCGAACTTCCATTTCCATATATTAGTGTTGCCATGTAACAAAGCTCAGCTCCACAGCAACCCCTGGAACCCCTGGTTGGTCGGTATCACTAGCCTTTTCCGGTATTGATTGAAGCATGTACAAAGTCTTCACAGCGGCTTATTCCGCCGGACAAGACATCAGCCAAAACTCCGATTACATCAAATGCCTCCTGCAGATCGCTGGCCAAGTTCATTTCATCGAGCCATGTTAGTAACTCCTTGGAGAACCCCATCATTTCCCTTACGTTATCAAGTCGCTCTTTCATCACCACCTCCCAACCCTCAAGGTTTCGGGTTTCGCTTTCCTCTTCCGTTGTGGTGGCAGATGTTCCTTCTTTTGCAGAAGATGCAATGCTTGCCGATTTTTTGACCTTGAAGAAATGTTGCAGTTGCTGAATCAGGCCAGTGTAGACGAGCATTGGCCTAATAGTAGTTAACAAATCGTTGGCTTCTTCTGCTTCCGTGTTTGGGTTACTACTACTCACCGATGAGCGACTGGTGGATTTGCTATGAGTATGCTGCATGTATGCATGGAATATTCCACGCTGTAGGAATGCACGTCGATGCAGCAACCAGGATTCATAAGACTCAGAAAGAAGTGAGTTCACCATCATAAACTGAACAGTTTCTTCAGTTGCTGCTGAAGGTTGTGGTCCTGGAGATAACGGTCGCGAATCTACAGTGGACGAGGATAAATAGGTTGAAACAGATTTAGCCATCGTAGAACGTTGAGATGGGCTCCCTTGATCCAGTAGGTGACGAGCCATTTGAATCATAAAAGGAAGGAACCGGGAATTGCTTTCTCTTCCCCCACCCCTGCTTTCAGCACTAAATGATGCCCCGGTAGCAAATCGAGCCAACATCTACATGACAAAAAACATAAATACAGATAACTCGTTAGAAGGTAGAAAAGCTAATCCAGGAAAGGAAAAGTTTCTAAGTGAACTTAAAACAATTCACAAACTGACAACAGGCAATAAACATACCAGAACAATATCATATGTCAAGAGCCGAAGTCGGTTTCCATCAGCACGACCAAGAGCATTTAGGTTGTCCCAATGCTGATCAACATATCGGATATACTGTGCCAATGGGACAGACGGACCTCTCACGGGGAACAAGGAATTGCAGAGGGATTCGTTGTTCCTGAGTGTTGCTCCTTCCCATTCTTTCTTTGGGATTTTCAAACCAGCGTCTGTTCTTTTGGCCTCTTGATGGCACTGATAATGAATTATATTGAAATAACTCACAGTCGTATAAACGCACTCCCCACGATTACTTCCAGATGTCCCAACACCAAGGTTAACCCTCTTGCTGAAAGAATAAACCCCCAGCAAGTCAGAAGGCCTCAAACTATAGCCCTCTCTGCACACCATGCAAGCCAACCCATCTTCCTCTTCCTTTACATCTTCCAAACCTTCAAGAGCTGACTGAGAAACAATGATCCGTTCAACACCATCTGAAGCAACTTGTCGCATCCCAAGTTTCTGCATTATCGAAAACCACGGAATATATAAAAGCATAAAAAACATACACTGGGAACAGGCCAAAAATAATATCCAAGCATCAGACAATGCAAAGCCAGAAAAATTCATGTTGCATCAACTTCCCACTCCCAAACATGTTACCAATTCATTTTCAATGTTCAAGACATTTTGATGACGAGAAAAGAGTTTTAAATCTTTTTGCATGCTGTGTCATTCCAATGAAAATTCTATTGGAGAAGGAAATTCGTTTTGAAATTGATTTCTAAAAGTATAAAACTCTAAAACAACGTGTAATCAACACAAGCAGAAAAAATAGTGAAGCTAAACATAATGTACGTAAATGCAAGTATAAGGAAACACATAAAAAATACTGGGTCAACAGTTCTTAAATCATGAACTATGAGACAGTACCTCTAGTATATCTTCTCTGTTCTTCAAAGCAAGCCGCCTCATTTCATCCCTTCTGGCATGCCTTAACATCCGCACTTTATCCTCCAAGAATCCATCTCCATTTCCCTCCTTGTTAGAGAGGGTATCTAACAAGTTTTCAGCCCTTGCCCCAATCTCATTCTCACCCGGAACTCTTTCCAGTGCATGAAGCACAGGTAAGATCCTTCCTTCATCAATACACCTCTGTGTAGCCAAATGCCCCATTGACAAACCCCTTAGCATAGACAGTATTAGCGGAATGGATGGGCGTTTCAAGGCGAAGGCCCATTCCATACTAGACCTGAAGCCAGCCTGCCCTGCAACAGCAAAACTATCTCTCAGATGCTTAACTGCAAGGCCAGTGATGCCCTGTTCCAAAATAATATCCTTCAGTCTCTCCCCACAGGAACTTGTTTTCAGCGACTCCGAGACTCTAACGAAATTTTCCACAGTAAATCTCTGCTTGGCAGCTTGCTCAGAGATGCTTTTATCCTGAGGATTGTCTTCATGCTGTTTCTGTAATCGATCAAATTTTTCCCAATCATTCAGGTATGGAGTAAAATGTTGGATGAGTGCAGCCATAGCAGCAGGTTCACCATAGGTCAAGTAAGGCAAGATTCTAGCAACCATTTCAGTGTTCCTCTGTTGTTTGTTTGATTTCTTGGAACCAAAAGGATGAGATAATCTCTCCAGGAACATGAGAACAATTTTTTTGGCCTGTTCACCAGTTCCGGTTTGTTCGCTGGAGACGGTAAGAGCACTCTGTCCAATGCTAATACTTTCACTTTCATTTGCTTCAATTGTTAGACTCTCCACAATCAAAAGAATGCCTTCAGCTGACTCCATGGCATCCACAGCGAAAGCACGCCTTGCTGTTTCTAGAAGTAATCCAAGAGCTCCAAGCCTCAATAAAGCACGCCTGTTCTCTCTTATTTTGCAACAAAGCATAAGAAGATTAAGAACTGCCACCAATTGCTCTTGGTTTGACTTGAAATTATCCCATATACGCTGGTTCAAATAAAGAAGTTACAGTAAGACCAGGAAAAAAGGTTTAATCGGACTTTAAATTGAAAAAGAACCGACAGCTCCACTCCAATTATCCCACATCAGAATAGCATAGAAAGACCATACAACTGAATATAGTAGACGCACAATCGAAAAAAGTAAGGAGCTGGACCTTGAATATACCACTAGAGTTCAGCGTCCAAATAAAAAATGGGATTTAGTAAATAGAGTTTGAAACTGAATTCTACATGAAACAAATAATTTTTCTTGCACAATTAATATGCTAATTAGCAGCATATTTTAATTACCCGTAAACATCGAAATATAAAATTTTTCCCCAAGTAATATTGAAAACCATTCATTGGGTCAGTGCAAATTTCCAAGCTCACATGAAGAGGGGACGTTAGAGCATCATAAAATATTAAATTCAATATAACCAAACTCAACAACTTCAGTCGATGGGTTAAAATTAATTTAATTATTAATTTATATTCTCAAACACTTTCCTCCACTTATGGACTTGACAATTAATATAAAGCTGAACAAGTGGTTATTAACGATGACTGAGATGATATTATAAGAATTTAAACACAAAACTACTTGCTCTAAGACTATGTTAAATCACCACTTAGCCTAAAAGCTTCAACTCATGAGTTGCAGTAAAATTTAATTATAAAAATCATATTTTTAACATTTTTCAAAAACCTTCTTCACAAAAAAGCAAAAACAAAAAGCTTTTTTTTTTTTCTTTTTTTGTCTCTATAAGCTTTCAAATACTATACCATTAGCTTTTCAGAAGGCACTAAAACATTCCACCAAACCAATACACTTAAGGTATTGTTATCAATAGCAGGCCATATTCATTACAGCTGCCAAGGCAAACTAAAAAGTTCCTTTAAAGAAAGCGAAGTTTGACCACCTAATATTACGATACAGCAGATCCATCATCAAAGGTGTGTTCAGAAGTCATTTCCATTTTTAAATATCGTTCACTCATTTAGCACCCAGGGGATATCCTCTTTAGGGTCAGGTAAGGGAAAGGCATGAAATCTTTTTTTCATTATCTTAATTTAACACATTTGCTTTAGAAATGGTATTTCTACTAGAAAACTGAAGCATTCATCAAGTGTAAATTTCAAAGGAAACTATAGAAAGGCATTCTAACTAGACAAGGAATGATTTATACTAAAAAGAAAATTTAAAAGAAAGAGAACTCCACGAAGAAATGAGAATTTTTTGTAACAAAGATTCATGACTCTGTGTGGTTGGTGAGCGCAAAGTGAACTTTACCATGCAAGTACAGATAACTGAGAATTTTTCTAGTGGAACTTCAAAAAAGGATGTTAAAGAAAAAAAAATGAAAATTGCGGGTTTATTATGCCCTAGCAGTCATAAAAGAGTGAAACACAAAAAATTCTGTGATACTGCATTAGGTGGATTGCCAATTGGAAGGGGAATAGAAAAGGAAAAAAGTAGATTGGGGTAAAAATCGAAGCAACATTACAATTTTAAAACCCAAATTTTAAGCCATAAGTTTAGGTTCAATGGGTTGAAATAGCAGTTATTAAATCAATAAGAACACTTATCAGGAAATTAGTACATTTAAATCTTATTTAGGCAACTTCAA